AAAAAAAAAAATCTCAGCAGCCAGAAACATCTGTTGCATTCATGACTTGTTCAGATGACAGATGATAGGAATTGGGGGTGATATTTGAGGCTCTTCTCGTCGGACAGCATCTTCTTAGCACTTTTGCCTCAGTGAAAAGGCACCTCCAGATTTCTGTCTCCTTATGTATACAATACCCATAAAGATGCAGTGTGGGACTTGGACACTTTAAAGTTCCCCAGGTGGTTCTAAAGACTGAGAACCACTGCCTATGAAGGGGCCCCCAAACCAAGGAGGCCCACTTATCATGGCATCTAGTCCAACCATGGGGAGGCCCCTGGGATGAAGATGTTTTCCAAAGCTTCTTCTAAGACTTGAAGCAGCGTACAAACCACCTGGGGTCTTGTTGAAATTCAGGCTTGCATCAATAAGTCTAGAAAGAGGCCCAGTATTCCGCATTTTCAACCTTTCTATATTTCCAGGAGAGGATTGCCAAGTGCCATGGCACCCAATGTGGATTCTGCACCCCAGGCATGGTGATGTCTATCTATGCGCTGCTGAGAAACCACCCAGAGCCCTCCCTGGCTCAGTGTATTGATGCTCTCAGTGGTAGGTTCTATGTGTGCTTTTACTTTGAAATAATGATGATAGCAGCTAACATCAGACACCTACCACATATCACAGGGCCCTGGGTGGTAGAAATGGTTCACATGTCCAGCTGCCCACCCAGCGGCACTGTGGAAGAACAGCCTTGGTTCTATTTCTGTGTGGGGGTGGAGTTTGGTAATCAGCCTTTGAAAACCCCATGGACAACAGTTATAACTATGAATTGGAGTAAACTTGATTGCAATGCCCTCCCACGCCCCCACCCCAGTATTTGGTTTTGTTACTATTTCATGCCTTTGCTCTTTCTGTTAATTGAAACTAGCTTTTGAAGAACAGTTTCATTAACTTATAATTCACATATCACACACTGAAATGGTTTGAGCATATTAAGATTTGTGTAATCATCACCCCAATCAATTTTAGAATATTTTCTTCTTTCTTGTATTCATTATTATTAGCTCCTCATTTCTCCCCAAGTTACCCTGCCATAACCCTAAAAAATATATAAATCCAATTATTGGATAAATCTATAGGTTTATCTGTCCTGGATTTCGTATGCAGAAAAATATACAAAGAACAAAGCAAACATACAAAAAACACAACAACAATAACAGAGAAAACCCTCAATAGAAAAGAAAGCAGAAAATAATGAAAACTTGCACAAATTTACAATGGGTCAAAAGGGTGAGTAAATGATCAAGATGTTAAATTTTACTCTAACTACATGCACATGGATCGCTTTCCAAAGCACCGTGTCTGACAGCAAGGTTATTCATATCACGGGTCAGAGGGGATTCACCTGAGACTTAATCTACATGGCGATCCTGCAGATGGATTTGGGGCTTTCATTGTCATCCGTAGCCTTCAGAATTTAATCTCTAAACCCATTCGCTCCCTGATCTTGGGTTTTATTACTTACAATCCTTGAATCACACAGGCTGGTGTGGTTCTTCTGTGTGGACTTAGTGAAGCTTAACTTTAGACTATAGACAAAGAATAGTGTGTCTTGAAATTATTGTGTGTTTTTGAACATCTATCACAAACATAGGGCATAAAAGCTGTTCACAGAGAAAAAGGGCAAATAGTTGAGTTGTTAGAATCTATCTGAGACTTTCAACAAATAGCCCAAGCAGCTGATGGAAAAATGTGAATTTGGAGATAAGGCGGACTGAAACATCCAGCATGGCTCCCAACCAGGAGGGCTCCTTATTCTCCTCCTGCCTGCCATACTGTGCCTCCCTCTAGGTTACATGGTTAATGGAGTTGTTTTTTCCTCCTCCAGGTAACTTGTGTCGTTGCAATGGATACAGGCCCATAATAGATGCATGCAAGACCTTCTGTAAAGTAAGTAGAAAGGAACTTATTGCTAAGTGTATTTTCTCTCAATTTACACAACCAGAAGGTTGTCGGGGGAGCAGCTACTAGTACTAAAACAGGTCTGCCATTGTTGTTTGTTCTCTGACCTCAGGTAGGGCACTCGGCCTCAGGCATTGAACTTACCCTGAGTCACAAAATAAACACCTGAGCACGTTGACCTTGGTTGAAGTCATTGCTGTGTAGGGGATCTTCCCTGACCTGCCCACCTGGGCTGGGCATCTCCCTTGGAGCTCTGGTGGCAACTCAATAGATATGTGGAAGATGAATGAACAAACAAACGACCTGGAAAATGAGGGACATAGATGGCCCTTTGGATGTTAGACTATGAGATCAGCACACGATGGATCAGAATAAGGCAATGAGAGTATGCATAAAACTTGTTAATATTTATTTAAAATATGTTATACATGAAACATTAAATATTAATGCTGGAGATTAATAATTGTTCAATTTAATCTTATATAGTTTTCTTATAAGATCTTTAAATAGTTGTCTTATTTATTAATCCTTGCAATTCTAAAATGAGCCCTGGTGGCATAATGGAAAGCTCAAGGTCATCTGTTTGAATCTGCCATTTGCTCTGACAGGAAAGGATGGCTTTGGGAAAAATTTACAGGCTCAGAAACAGAAAGGGCCCATTCTACTTTGCCCTGGAGTGTCACCATGAGTCAGAATTGACTTGATGGCAGTGGGTGGGGTATTCAAACCTTCTTAAAAGCTCTTTTATTAGGGGTTAGTTTGGATGCATGTAAGTATCAACGCCTTTCTTTTAAGGTATGTTGGCATAGTGGGCTATGCATTGTGGTGCTAACCACAAAGTCAGCAGTTCAAAACCTCCAGCAGTTCTGCAGGAGAAAGATCATGCTTTCTACTCTTGTAAAGAGTTACAGTCTCGGAAACACACAGAGGCAGTTCTACTCTATCCTATAGGATTGCTGTGAGCTGGAATAAGCTCATTGGCAGTGAGTTTGATTTCACAGTAAATGCTTGTTATCACCCCTCGCCCCCCCCACCCCCCCAATCTTACTAGAATACTGGCTGCTGTCAATGTCAAGAAAATGCAGTCTGCTGTTTGGATCAAGAAATAAATGGATTGCCAGGTCCTGAGGAAGGAAGGAAGGTCAGTGAAATGAAAACTTTTGATAACGGTTGTTTAGGCCCCGAACAGCAGTCAGCTGACTCTCGGGAAGAGTAAGTGGTCACTCAATTTGACTCATTGGTGGCGTGTCAAGTGGTCCCAGTTTTTTCATACTAGCTCTGGGAGAGAATGGCAGTCGTGTCCGCTCCTGACAGCATGCCCTTCATTCCAGGTAGTTCTCCTGTTTCACTGCAGCCAGACACCAAAGACAGTGTGTAGGATAGGCTTTGGAGGCCACTGACGTCTTCACTGACAGGATCTGTGTCAGAGCCCTGCATGTAGAGCCTGGGGTGGCTGGACGGCTGAGTGTTTACTTGCTTGTTTATCGATCTGTTTGGGATACTTTCTCTTTATAAGGCACATCCAAAACTCTTCTCAGAAGAGGAATTTCTGCCATTGGATGCGTCCCAGGAATTGATATTTCCCCCCGAGCTCATGGTAAGTAAGGCTCCATTAGACTTTTCCCAGAGAGATCCATGGTGTTAGGAAAGGTGTTTGCTTGTGGGTATTTCCCTAAACAAATTGGGAAACTAGATCCTATCCATCCATCTTCTTAGTCCAAGGTCTAAAGAGTATGGAATTGGGGCAACTGTGGAGGGGTAAGGGTGGAAGTACCACGAAGAGATGTTTGGTTAACAGTGAAAAGCAGATGGTGTCTATAAAAAAACTCACGAAATGACATCACAACATACGTAGATGTAGACAAGTTTTCCAGCCCGTTTTGCTGAAATTTATTCTTCCATAGAATGATTCAACAAAATTAAGTAGAAATAAGTGAATTCTTTTGAAACATAAAAGTTCCAAAGGAAGATTGATGAGAAGATTTCCTGAACTCTGAATCCTGGTAGATAATTTCCTTCCCTCCTCTGGTAGCACAATGGTGAAGGGCTCGATTTCTAACTGAAAGGTTGGAGGTTCGAACTCACCAGCTGCTTTGCAAGAGAAAAGATTTGGTAATTTATGTCTGTAAAGATTATAGCCTAGGAAATTCCCTGGGGTCAGTTGCGTAGAGTCACTGGGAATTGCCAAGCGTTGGAATCAACTCAACAGTATACAATAATAACAACAACAACAACCTCTACCCCTAATAGAGCTCAACAAATGGAAATGTCACAGAGTGATCATGGGTCTCTATTTCTATTCCAATAGATCATAGCTGAGAAAGAGCCACAAAGGACCAGGGTTTATGGTGGAGAGCGAATGACATGGATTTCCCCAGTGACTCTGAAGGAACTTCTGGAAGCCAAGGTCAAGAATCCTCAGGCTCCTATTGTGATGGGGAACACCTCTGTGGGTATGTAGGAGCCCCTAAATCCTCTACTGGGAAACTGAAACAGGTGTTCTCAGGAAGAACAGGCTGAAATAGCATTTCAATCTATGAGCTACTTTCTAAGTCAAAGAACGAAATGAAACTTTATTGGTCCTCATAGGAGCAGCGTACAGATCTTCCCAGTTGCAATGAAAAGTCTCTTGTCTCTGCATTTGGGACTTGATCTTGGCTTGTATTGGATATGATGTGTGTTTCTTCTCTATGGTGTCCAATGGGTATTAGATGTTTTCTGAACCAGTAGCCACAAAATCTACCTGTTGTAACTAGTGTAGGCCCCGTGTGACTGGTCACCTCTTTGAAGAGCACCCCAAATCTTCCCAAGGAGCATTTTGACTGTCCATGTGGCCTGCGTTTTGAGGCTGACAGTTCCAAAGAATCTTTCAAGCTTAGTGAAAATCCATCTAGTCATTGTGTGTGTGTGTGTATGATTTAGCAACAAACAGAGATACATAAATGTCATGTATTTAAAGACATCACTTTGAACCACAATTTCCAAAAGGCAACAAGATAACAGAATGAAAAGACAAGCCCACGGGTTGAGAGAAAATATTTGTAAACCTCATATCTGATAAAGGATTTGTATCCAAGATATTTGAAGACTTTTAAGATTCACCAATAAGAAAGCAATCCAGTTTAAAAATGGTTTAAAAAGATCTGAATGGACATCTCACCAAAAAGATATGCAGATACTGATAAGCAGCAGTCAAGAAATCTAATGACTTTGGGTAAATCTAATGGCATAGTGGGTAAATCTGATGTAATATTGGGTAAATCCACCTTGAAGGCCTCTCTAAAGTGCTAATGAGTAAAGATGTCACTTTGAGGACTAAGGTGCACCTGACCCAAGCAGTGGAACTTTCAGTCGCCTTATATGCATATGAGAGTTCAATAGTTGTTGGGGAAAGGCCAGCCCCCCACAACTAATCGCAGGTTCGATAGGAGCAGCTATACGATTAAGATATATAAAGATTATAGTAAAGTCATAGATAATAAGGAGAGATAGAAGAGAGATTGAAATAATGGAGTCAGACACATTTCATGGTAACATGCTCACGTCAGTTTGGTGGTCCAAGCTGGAGATGGGAGACGAGAGGGCAAGAGAGAGGGGGAGCGGAAGGAGGACAAGGGGAAAGGGAACAGTGGGGAGAGAGCCGGGGGAGAGAAAGGGGAAGTGAGCAAGACTTTGTTGCTAACCAAGGCTTATATATCTTTGGGGGTGTACAGACCCCTAATTACAGGTAAGAACATATGTCACAGGAAGGGGTTGTGCTATAGGTAATACAATAATGGGAGGGGGACAATCTAGGGGTAAACATGCAATGGGAAGGGGAGGGATTGAGGGTACACATGTGACAAGATGGGCGGATCCTAGATTCAGGATGGCAGCCTAACTTTGGATGCGACTGAGCAGGTTTGACCTGGTCTCTGGATCTCCATGAAAACCATTATCGGTAGGGTGTGAAGCCCACCTACAGTGGACCAGATGTCTTCAGGAAGAATATCTCTTAAGCATCTGACCTCCCACCAAGAGCTGGCAAACAACCTCTAATGTTTGGCGTAACTCTGGGGGAGACAAAGCTTGGGGAAAGTCTTTTGTATCCCACAAATGGTGAATAAGGAAGATCACATTATTTATGAATTTGAATTATGGTATTGGTGAAGAATATTGAAAGTATGAGGATTGCCAGAACAACAACAACAACAAAATCTGTCTTGGAATAGCCGGAATGCTCTTTGTAATTATGGACGGCAAGACTTTGTCTCAAGTACTTTGGATATCCTATTAGAAGAAACCAAGAAAAATTTGGAAAAAGACATCATGCTTGGTAAGGTAAAAGGTCAGAGAGAAGATAGGAAGACTCCCAGCAGGATGGAGTTATGGAGTGGCTGCAACAATGGGCTCAAATACAACAGTCATTGTGAGGATGGTGCAGGGTTTCATTCTGTTGGACTTTGGGTTGCTGTGACTTGGACCCAACTCAACAGCACCTAACAATAATACGAAATATATTAAAAGATGCCCAGCATCATATGCCATTAGAGAATTAAAACTAACAATAATGAGATACCATTAAACTAAAACCCACTGCCACCAAGTAGGGGTTCCGAGACAGGAAATCTATATTGAAGCAGATAGCCTCATCTTTCTCCCTCAGAGCAGTTAGTGGCTTTGAACTGCCATCCTATCTGACCCACAGCACCACCAGCCTCCTTGAGATACTAGAAAGGAGTTTAGTAGCTAAAGTCCAAAACCATGACAACACCAAGTGTTGACAAAGATTTGGAGCAATGGGAACTCTTATTCACTGTTGTTGGTAACAGAAAATGCTACTGTCATGTGGGAAGATACTCTGATCATTTCTTACTATAGGCTTACTATATGGGCCAGAAATTTCATTCCTGGATATGTACCCATTTGAGTTGAGAGGCTATATCTGCACTGTAACCTCACACAAATGTTTATAGCAACTTCATCCACATTTACCAAAAGTTGGAGGCCACCATGATGTTATTCAATAGATGACAGAGTAAGCATCCATCTGAGGGAGTACTACTCAGCGGTGAAAAGAAATGAGCACATTACAGAAAGTCACAGAGGAGCCTTAAATACATATTGCTTAGTGAAAGAAGCCAGTCTGAGAATTCTACCTACGTATAATTCAGGGAGGTAAGGAAAGGATGAATAGGTAAAGCACAGGGCATTTAAAAAGCAGTGAAACTATTCTGTATGATACTATAAAGATACGACACATGACATTTTTGTCAAAATCCATGGGACTGTATAGCACAAAGGGTGAAGTTTAATGTAAACTAAGAACTTTTGTTAATACTATCAATATTAACTCATCAATTGTAACAAATGTACCTCATTGAAGCAAGATGCTAACTATAGAAGAAACCATATGCAGAGGAAGAGAGAGAATACAAGAATGCTATACTTCCTATGCAAAAAAATTTTTTTCCTATAAGCCAAGACCACTTTGGAGCCTGATGGTGTAATGGTTATGGGTTGGGCTACTAATTGCAAAGGTCAATAGTGTGAAACCCCTAGCCCCTCTGCAGGAGAAAAAGTAGGGTTTCTTCTCTAGGAAAGAGTTCATAATTTCAGACACTTAAAGGGGCAGTTTTGCCCTGCCTGTAGGGTCGCTGGGGGTCAGCACAGAATATATGGCAGTGAGAGAAGACCAAGGAGAGTGTAAGAGGCCTGGTAGGGATTCATCAAGGGCAATGTAACCGAGAGAAATTACTGATACCCAAATGAAGGCTGAATATAATAATGGGACAAAAGGAAAGTAAAAGGAAATAGAGGAAAGAACTAGGCAGCAAAGGGCATTTATAGAGGTCTAAATACAGGAATGTACATATGTAAATATATTTATACAGGATGATGGGGAAATAGATCTACGTGCATATATTTATAGGTTTAGTATTAAGGCAGCACACAGACATTGGGTATCTACTCAAGTACTCCCTCAACTCAAGAAAACTTTGTTCTAATAACCTGGCTTTCTGTGATGCTCACCCTCCCTGACAATCGCTGAAGACAAAGCAGGTGCACAAGCAAATCTGGTGAAGAAAGCTGATGGTGCCAGGCTATCAAAAGATATAGCATTTGGGGTCTTAAAGGCTTGCAGGTAAACAAGCGGCCATCTAGCTGAGTAGCAACAAAGCCCACATGGAAGAAGCACACCAGCCTGTGTGACCACGAGGTGTCAAAGGGATCAGGTATCAGGCATCAAAGAACAAAAATTCATATCATTGTAAATGAGGGGAGTGCACAGTGGAGACCCAAAGCCCACTGTAGGTAATAGGACACCGCCTTACAGAAGAGTCGCAGGGAGGAGATGAGCCAGTCAGCATGCAGTGTAGCAACAATGAAACATACAGCTTTCCTCTAATTCTTAATGTTTCCTCCCCACCACTATCATGATCTCAATTCTACCTTACAAATCCTGCTAGACCATAGGATGTACAGTGGTACAGATAGGAACCGGAAATGGGAATCCAGGGCAGATGATCCCGTCAGGACCAGTGGTGAGAGTGGTGACACCAGGAGGGTGGAGGAAACAGTGGGGTAGAAAGGGGGAGCCGATTATAAGGATCTACATATAACCTCTTCCCTGGGGGATGGACAACAGAAAATTGGGTTAAGGGAGACATTGGACAGTGTAAAATATGACAAAATAATAATAGTTTATAAATTATGAAGGGTTCATGAGGAAGGGGGGAGCGGGGAAGGAAGGGGAAAAATGAGGAGCTGATACCAAGGGTTTAAGTGGAGAGCAAATGTTTTGAGAATGATGAGGGCAACTAATATACAAATCCATTGCAACAAGCACATTTGTATGGATGTATGGATTGTGATACGAGTTGTATAAGCCCTCAATAAAAGGATTTTTAAAAATTCACTGATTTTTAAGGCAGTAAATCCTTTATCCTAGCTTCCTTATTTATTTTTTGAATCTTTTATTTTACCTTTTTTCCCCTATTTTTTTTAATCTTTCAGGACCAGAGGTGAAATTTAAAGGCATCGTTCACCCCGTTATTATTTCTCCTGATAGAATTGAAGAGCTGAGTGTTGTAAAACATACACATAATGGTGAGTTCTTTTTATTTTTATTTATTTATTTTTATTAAAAGATCATTTTCTGGGGGGAGGGGGGGGCTCTTACAGCCCTTATAACAATCCATACATCAATTGCCTCAAGCATATTTGTACATATGTTGCCATCATTATTTTCTAAACATTTACTTTCTATTGAGTTCTTGGTATCAGCTCCTCTCCCCCCACTCATGACCCCTTGATAAAGTATAAATTATTATTATTTTCATATCTTACACCTACCACTGTCTCCCTTCCCCCATGGTTTATTGTTCATCCCCCTGGGGCGGAGGTGTGTGGTTATGTGTCAATCATTGTACCTTCTTCCTCCCCACCTCTCCCCACCTTCCTTCTTAATAGTGAGTTCTTAAGGTCACTGTGTTATTAGTTTAAATACATGAATCTGTTTTTTTCCCTTGCCCAGCTGACACGCAGAAAAAGCATCATTCCTGGCTATAGCAGACGGAGCCTTTAAAGAATGATACCATTCTGAAGGGAGGTTGAGGGAAAAGTTTCTATCGGTACACTAGATGCTAATTGTCTGAATAGTGGAATTTTTACTGAAGACTGCTTGGTGGCAGCGGTGACCAAGAAGTGTATCCGTTATTGGTGCTGTGCTAGAAGTCCAAACGGACTCTGTCAGTGGGTGGGTGCTTGACCCCACACGGAAGATAAACACGAACAGACGTTGTCTTTGTTCTGCGGAAACCAACAGGAAGCAAAGCAAGTGTAGCTGGTAAACAGCTGACAGACTAGCTTTGCCCTTCATCGGGGAAATTGATCTCATGGTAATGAGAGGCAATATAACTGTGGTGAGGAGTGTAGGGCCCAGTCTAGTCATCTTATGTTGTGGGGTGAAGAATAGACACAGCAAATTCCACCCCAACACTGCAGTTCCAATACATGCCATCCAGTGACATTGACAAGAAGCCCTGGTGGCGGAGAGGTGATGAGTTAGGCTTCCTACTCCAGTAAAGAGGGACAGCTTCAGAAACCCATAGGGCCGATGGCATCTACCCTTCCCTAGAGGGCCACTCTGAGTTGGTATAGTCTTGATGACAGTGAATTTGTTTTGTTTTGTTATAGTTTAAGGTTCCTTTGAATTCTTTTGTATTGGTGTTCAGTTTGATCCACAGAGT